TATATCAGGGCAAAAAGGCAAAAAGACAATCTGACCAAAATACAAAATTTTTAAAGGAATCTCTAGTTTTCCGAACAAAATTAATTTCAGATTTTAAATCCTCACTCTCAAATTGGGTAACAACAATATTTGTTTTTAATGCAACAAAAATTCATTTTCCCTGTGTAAGTTAATTTGCCTTAAATGCATGCAAAGTTAGAAACAAAAAGTAGCAGCTATATAAATATTTATAATTTTCACTACGACTTGGTAACACTTTTCTCGAAAAGCGTAGCTCTGTAAAGTAAAAGTAGACTCTGCCAATGTGTTCACTTACTGGTTCTAATTCTTTGGCCAGATTTTAAGTGATAAAAAATTTATTCTTAAATATTCATTTCGTAGTTTATTTTAGAGGAATAAGACCAATGCCATTTATAATTAATTCAAACATCTGTAAGCAAATCTTGGTCCTGGTGTCGTGTCATGTTGGTTGAATTAAATTTTCTTGTGTATTGAATTCAATCTGGTGTAGGTTGAAGGATCAGGAATTGTATTTTTTTCAAATTATGGTGGCTCTGATATAAAAAAACTACACAATTTATTTAATGCTACTACTCTTTTTTATAGCATCAATGTTTACATTATTTTTATTTGAAATTTTAGGTGCTATTGCAGGGGCCCTTTGACGAAGATAAGACATCTATATTTTTATCTGGCGATCTAGTTAAAAACAAAAATATATTTCATTATTTTTAATTATTAAAGACAGTCTAATAGTTACTAAAAAAAATCCCGAATCGGAATTATATTTGTACTAAAATATAAAATGCAAAAAAAAAAAATGTTTTTTTCATTCACATTCAAAAAATTAACAATAATTAGTTTTAAAAATTAAAGAAATTTAAATGATTAATAACTGTTTCTCTTTGACCTAAATAACTGTAATTGCAATTTTGAAGAAAATTTTTTTTCTTGGAAGTAAACAGTGGTTACAAGATTTCAGCTTTAACGTCTGAGATTCATGCTGTATTTTATAATGATAAATTATTAAAATGCTAAATATATTATTTTTCACTAACTTTTATCTAAATAAATTGAAAATAAAGAAAACGTATGAGAAATATTTTTAAAAAAAATTCGCGTCAAAGGGTTAAGACAATTGCTGTTTTTTATTATCGTGTTGATACCTTTTTGAATACATTTGAAAACTGTTTCGAAAGTATGATCACTTAGCAGCAATAGGAACTTGTCCTGGATCTTGGTCAAAATAATTTTGAATCAATGCAAATTAAAACACACATATTTTATACTTCTGTTACTGTTTTTTCTTCTTTTTTAAAAAAATTCTCTTCGTGGAAAATTTAAATGTGCCCCACTTTTTTTATATATAAAAGTAAATAAATAAATAAAAAAACATACAAAAAGCAAATTATTTTACATACTGTTAGAAAACAAAGCTGCTACGTCTTTTTTTGAACAAGATGATGGAAGGCAGGCATTCAAGCTTGGTTGAGCAATATAAAGATATTGAGCATATTTTGCTAAGTTATTCATCAACTAGAACAGTGAGAGAAAAAAGAAGTTTTTAATATCTTTTCTCTAAAAATTAAAAGAAAAACTTTTTATTCAGATTGAAAGGAAAAACTTTTTTATTAACACAAGGTTGTGGGACGAGTGCTTAAAATTATTACAAACAGAATATTCCACTATTCAATCAATAGTTAAAATATTCACATTCTGTGAATATAATGTAAAGTCAAACGATCCGAATCATCTTTATATTCTTCTTTGTCAGCGGAAAAAAACAGATCACCCTTATAACATTTGTTGAATTTTCATTTTGTACAGTGTCATAGCAAAAAGCTTTATCTTATTGGCTATATCTTAGAATTGAGGGGGAATATGTTTTTCTTTGACTTAAAAACGCCATTTTTAAATAAAATTTGGGTTTATTACCCTCAAAATACGAAGGTGACGATGTTTTGAAAAACTGGTTTTTATCGTTCAAAGGCTAAAACGGCAGGAATTTTTGTTACTCAAATGTCATACTAATTTGTCACATTTCCCTTTATAGTTTTTGATTGATTTCTTAATTTATAATGTCTATTTTTTTAAAAAGTAATAAACTGTAGGTTCGAAGACAAAATGTAATATGATTTTTTTAATACAATTGTTTTAAAGCACAATTTAATTTTCATTTTGTATCTCATTAAACATAATCGTTTCATCTTTTCCAGTTTTTCCTAAAGGTATGAAGCCTACACCAGCTTTTTCTTTTCAATATAAAGTCGAGCTTGTGTCATTGGAAACAAGAGCTCTAAGTAATATGATCAGATCAACATCTTGTTCAACAATAACTGCTTGCCTGTTATTATTGTTATCATGATTGCATTTTTAATACTAAAATGACTATACATAACTGAGAAAAATAAACTACTAATGTTTGAAAAAAAATATTCAGAGCCATCTTCAGAGCGGTTAATGAAAACAGTGTTTGGAGGATTCAATACACTTATGAATTATGCAGAAAATTCAAGCAAACAAACATAATTTCAGCTATTAAATCCTATAGAATAAGAAGGCTGGATGGAAGGGATGATGGTGATCCAGTTAAAAAGCTGACTTTAGGAAAGTTTACAAGCAACCGAAAAAGGGGATGACCAAACACCAGATGGATTGATTCTGTGTAAAAAGATGACAAAATCATGGAATCAATAAATGGAGTAACGTAGTGTCTGATCGAGCCAGACGGAGACGACTAGTTGGGACAGATCTGGCCTGCACTAGGCTGTTATGCTCATGGAAGAAGATAATCTATATAAGCACTTTTTAATCGTTGATAAAGTAGTAGAATAAACCTTTTTCATGGAGGAGGAGAGTTGGAAACAATGGATAAATGCTTTATCAGGAAGGATAAGTGATATATATATATATATACAAGATGCAGGTCTGCCAACTGCTACGCATTTTGCAAAACATTTTACAGAGTAGTAGTTATAAAAAAGAAAACTTACAAAATTTCTAGTAATATTTTTAATATTTTAAAAGTTTCAACACGATAAAGCTTGACTCATACTTATACGTGGAGGTTATCTTAGCATCAGCCCCGCTAGGGGCTCTAACTAATTCATCTGAGTGGGAATAAATAATAAATCGCCGAACCGCAACTGAAAGGTGAAAATTGGGAATCAGTAACATTTACTGAGAGAAAATTAAAATAATGTAGCGGGATTAAACAAACAAATTTAAGAGAGAGAAGAGGTTTTTGTGGCAGACTGCCTCGCCTCCCCCGAGGTATTACCCCCGAGCTTCTCAGGTGCACAGTAGCCACATAGCATCTGAGAAATAGGAAAAATACATGGGGAAAGGAATTACCATCCTTAGAAAGTGAAAAAAAATTTATAGGTAAGATCAATATACAATAAATTCTAAGTTTTGGAACATTTACAAACAAAAAATAAGCTTAAGAAAGAGAAATTACAAACAAAAATAAGCTTAATGGTTTTTGGGGAGTACCTGAAACTTTATTTTTTAGGGTGGGTGGAAGATATTAATGTAATCCTCATGAAATATAAACTATTTTTTATTTATTACTAGGTCCCTTGCAATTCATATTCTAACATTTAATTACCTAAAAATGAAATAAATATTATTTTAAAGTTATTTAAAGCTATTTTTTTAACAATAATACAAAAATATAAAATTTTGATTATTAGATTAGTTCGATTTTTTTTACATTGAAGTAAATTATGAGAAATGAATCTTGTGCAAGTTCGAGCTGCTATTAAGAATTTTCTCTCCCGCAGAAAATTTCAAAGTCAACATTATTTTATTGAAATTTCATTTCAAGCAACAATAACCCCAAAGTTTTGTTTTGCTATATTATTAGTATATTGCTGCCTAGTTATGGACATGCACTCGTTTTCATAAAGGATTCTAGCTTTTCAGAGTTATTCTCGGTCAAAGTAAGTGAAAATTTCAATTTTGACCCTGACATTCTTGGCTCTTAGGCTCACTGAATTTTATTTTAAAACTGAAAGGAAGAAATTAGTTACAGGAAGAAATTAGTAAATAATAAGCGATAGATAACAGAGTTTGTATTTTATTGTTTATCTCTAACAGTACTTTATACAAACACATTACTAACAAAACCTTGAATTTTTCCGTTTTTTTATGACTTAGCATCCCCATGTTTCTACTTCCATAATTATAACTTTTAATTCCTGATAGATTTCTTATAAAATCTCTTTATTTTAGATTATTTTGAAGGGGATGATCCATTTTAACTATCATAAAAAGGATGATGGATGTGATTCTTAACATGGTGTTTATATGCAACTTATATAAGTAAATTTTTTCTTGAAAAAGGGGGGAGGTCCCATTCATTTTCCTTTTTCAGGTGTTATTAGATACATTTACCTACAAGAGAGAATACAAGTAACTTCTTTTTTAAAAGATTATGCTGTTTTGAGAAAAGCTATATAAAAAAAAACGCAGAATTTGTATCTTTTGAAAGTTTGAACGCCTGACTATATCTAGCAAAGACATCAATAACTAAGAAAAGAGCAGAGTCAGGAGCTTGTCCTAATAGTACACTTTAAGATTCATTAAGGAAATAATTGGGGGCGATGTAATTTAATTTTCAGGCAAGATAAGCACTAAAAACCGAATTTTTCAATAATTTTGACGCAGCATAACTCTAAAAAGCAATAATGCCCCATGAAAACGAGCTCGTAACTAGGCAGCGGTATGCTAATAATAAAGCAATATGCTAATAATAAACTTTGAGATGTTACTGTTTTCCTTAGGTAAATCACTTAAAACCTGCTTACACTTTTAAAGATAAAACCTTGAACTTTGAAATTTTCTACTGGGGAGAAGTTATTTTTTAAGAGCTCAAACTGACGCAATTTTTTATAACCTACATCAATATAAAATCAAATCAAGTTCATCAAAAAATACAACTATCACATATTGTCTGAAGATCAAAATTACGCTTTTGAAAGTTAAGCTTTAAGGGGAGGGGAATGACATACTCAGGTAATATGAAATAATTTTTTTTATCATTGAGATCTAGATAAGTTGCTTAGGAAGCGAAAGAAAAAGACAGATAAGAATTTAATCAGAAATAAATTTAGAAATTAAAGTCGTTGTTAAAACAAAATTTGTTGCAGGATGAAAAAAATATTAAGTTTTTAATGTTAGGTAAATAAGTGGCATGGCAGATGTATGAAATGATATCGGGTTAAATAAATGATGTGTTATGTTACATAAAGTACTCATTAAAGTAATACTCATAGTAAAGTAATACTCATTTAAAGCTATTTACTGTGTTAGGCTCAAACAGATTATGAATGATTTCCATTGGCTTTTCCATTGGTGACATCACTGGTCTCTCCGGCAATGCTAGATCTAAATCTATACGGCAATACTGTCCATGAAAACTTCGACTTGGAGATTCTATTTGAAGACATGTATCAAAGTCGCCAAACGCCGTAGGATTTCCGCCCATCACACCATTTGGTATTTTCCCAGATGAATCCAACACTAAAAGGAAAAACAAAAATAAGTAAACTGTGGTAATACGATTTGTTTTTCATATTAAAACTAGAAAAAAATGCAGGGCTCTAAACTGCTACGATTTTTGGAGGATATTTAATAGAGTAGTAGACAACTAGAAACTGAAGCTTTCAGAATTTTAGGTAATTTTGCAAACATTTTAATAGTCTCACCACGTGACAGACCTGCTAACTTTTACTCTTTCTGATGAAATATTTCTCAAATAGTGTTTAAAAAACTTATTAAAATGCGATTTTAAAGATTCAGGACTGCCAACTACTGCGTAGACAAATATTTAATAGAGTGGCAAACATTTAAAACTCAAAGCTTCAGAACTTTTGGCAATTTTGCCAACATTTCAAAATAATTACCATCGAAAGATCTGCTCTTTGTCTTGTCTTGCTTTCGGATCTGGCGCCTGAGTCGTGAATATGTCCTTATCTTCGAAAGTTTTGGTGTCAAGTGGCGTTGGATATAAACTTTTAAATCCTTTATAGTGGAAAGTAGTGGTGGGGAAATGAATAGAAAAACAATAAAATAAAATATAAACTTAGGTACCACTAGAATAGATTTTTACAACAAACGTAGAAAGTAGGCATCTCTGTCTTTCTTCGTTATGAAAAATTTTACGTGGAAAAACTGCTGGCACAATTTGAAAGATCATGCTTGAATCTTTAGAAATGGTGTCATTTTTACCCATGCGAAATTGAACTACACTGATAAGATGAAGTTAATAACTTTTTTTAGCTCCAATACCAGCAATCTCGAAATATTACTGAATGGTTGAATGGTAGAAATCACATAAATCTCGGTGGGATGCCGCGAAGCGATTCATCGGTAGTATTAAATCGATGATAAGGAGGAATGGAGATGGGAGGAAGAGGGGGCTCCGAATTATTGCTGAACGGTAGAAATTCCATCTATCTCGGTACACAGCCTCGAAGCGGCTTTAAACGATTCATTGAAATTGAGAGGATCTATGATGTTGGATCAGATGTTGGTGGATCTGAAAATAAAATAAAAAATTATCACAGCAAGCTGTGATCGGCTCGTGGAAAAGGCGTAGTCCTGGATGTTGGCTTAGGTTTGGTCTTCGGAGAGGAGTGATTGCAGCAGCATCGTCACTAGTTCAGCGTTTTGAAGGAGCTGTTGCATCTCTTTAAATATGCGGAGAAGTCTAGTAGCCTTATTCGTGATGTTCTTCGGTCTTTTTCCTGTTGATTTCTTTGGTCGTTCAATGCAGCCAGTGAAGCAGGCATGATGGTGACCCTTACAGTTCACACATGTTGGAGTACTTGGTAGTTTTGTTACTTGGTAGTTTTGTGTAGGTACATGTGTACATGTTACTTGGTAGTTTTGTGTAGGTGTAGGTGAAGTGCGCTTCCGCACACTTCATGCATGCAGACTGGGCAATTTCTCTGGGTGTGGCCGAACTTTTGGCTCCGGTTGCACTGAATCTGGAAACGGCAGCCGCAAAAACGCTCAGTCCGTACCGAGAGATTGAGAATAGAGCTGATGTTGTAGATTTCTCTGTTAGTCTTGGAATCTGATTGGATAACAAGATATAGGGGAAGACGCGAATACTCCTGGCCATGCTACCTTTTGAGTTGGATGATTTCTTTCAGGCTTAAGTCCAAATTTCTTGCGATATGTTTCTATTTCTAGAGTATTAGAGTCTGTTTTAAGTCCACGAATCAGAGTTTTGATTTTTCTGGAGCAGATTGGAGGAGAGAGTACAGAACTGTAATATTTATTTAAGAATTCTTTCAGAATTATAGTGGTATTATAAAAAGAAAGAAGCTTTAAACTTTCTGCACCTATTTAGGCCGATGCAAATTTACCATGGGTAAACAGGTCAATCCTTATGAAAATTTATGATGTTTTTGAGGGTTACTTCAAGTTGTTTTGAAATGAATAGGATAGATTTAAGGTTTATTTGAAGTTGACTTCCAACCCATCCTTAAAAAAATCAACCTCCCAAGGTTTTTAATCAAGATGTATGCAGTTGTTTTATTCCCACTTGAAGTTGATATGAATTTACCTTAGAGCAACAAACTTAGAGAGGTCATTTTTGAGGTATGCAGGTTATTTTCTACACTTCAAGCAAATAAGTATATTTAAGGTGTGAATAATTTCCAAGAATTTCAATTTAAAGTATTGCTAAGCTATATATGGGATTAATTTTATGAGGTGTAAAAGAGGTTGAAATTGAAGTTTATTGAGGAGGTTATTTTTGGTGAAAAAGCTTAACCTCATTTTCTACCTCAACTTTCTATTTGTAACACTTGTCAACCTCAAAAACACTATATTGTTTTATAGGGGAATATTTCCAAAAGTTTCAAGCATGATGTACAATCATATTATTATATGATTATATTCCCGATATATATATATATATCTTTATATATAAGAAGAGAGTGGAATGATAACACATAGCCAATCACAGGAGACTTCTGATTAGTGACGTACAAAACAGCCAATCAAAATTGAGAACGCATGTATGTGAAAAGGTAATAATTTTTAATTATGCTGTCAAAAAATACAATATACAAACTGATCTCAAATAAAACTCAGAGGATTTCGAATCAAATAATTAAGAAAACTCTACTATTACGTTTATAAAAAGAAAGATTTATTAACTCAACAACAAAATTATAACATCGCCATTCAAAAAAAAAAAAATCTCACACTTGTTACGTAAAGCTATAAAAAGACCGAACGATTATTTACGGAAACGATTATATATGATTATTATGAACTAAACTTTATGCAAACGATTGTTTATGACGTCATTAGATAAAAGTGTCATTAACGCAATATTATCCAGTGTTTATTAATAATTTTGAGTGGCAATGTTAAAAGATAGTTGTTCTAAAGTTTTGTAATAAAATGTTTGTTTTGATGGAACGCGGTTATTTATTTTAGAATTCCAATATATTTTAATAGCTCTGATAAATCGGGCAGAGTTATTGGAAGCACGAATCAACACTCTCTCAAAAAACTATTTACATTCCAAATTATCAAAATATATTGAACGGAGTTTACTTTAAAATACTTATATCTTTTATAAAAAATGGATCGCCATGAATATCTTAGGCGATATCAACAGCGGTATAGAGCTGAACATGATTTAACTGCACAAAATTAACTGGAAAATAGTAGTAGTGCTGTCAATACGCGACGGCGGAATGCACGACGAAGAAACGTTGAAAAGTCAAGACGTTTAAATGAAAACGAATACTTTTGTGTAATTACGAATACTTCTGATTGAAACTAAAATATTTTGTCAGTTGACAGTATGGAAGTTAATTGAGCAATTAATTGAAATGGTATTTGCGTTTGAAATATTACTTAGAATCAACTTATTAATATTACATGTTTTAATTTGTTTGTAATTTTTGTAAAGTTTTTTTTCATTAGGTTTTCATTGTTTTAGTTTAAAATTTAAATTACTGGGGGGGGGGAGATAAAGCACCGTATAGGGAGCATCCGGCATCCTATAAGATCAACAATGATTTGAGTTAGGCTCCACCTCGCGTGCTTCGGATACGGAGATAAATCTCCGGCTAATGCCCTATAGTAATGTTTTAAATAATATTGGTTCCTCGCTTTATATAAGTTTATAATATTGTTTGTATTGAAATTGCTTTATATAATGTTGATAATAAGTTCCTCTGACATTTTACAATCCTATCATATTCTCTCTACATGATGTTGGTGCAGAAAAATTGCCAAATAATTTCCAGGAAAACGACTTTAAGTTTGTTCGCGAAGCGAATGAAAATGTAATTGCGTAGCAATTATCGGGGGTTGGCGAGCGGTAGAGAGCAGGGAACGGAGCCCTCTCGTAAATATATATATATATGAAATATTTCTCA